AGTAAACCTGATTCGACAAATGCTCAGCCACCGACGACGGTTAAAGGGAATTTAACACTTTCAATCGTGATATTGGTTGCCTTGTTTTACAGCGTCTAGTTTCCAGTTTCGAAATAAACAGTTTCTATTCAACCTAATTTTGGAGATTCCTCGTCAAGAAGAAGCACATCGGTTGTATCTTGAATGTGTGTTATTAACCATGAATATGTAAAGAAGTTGCTCAAAGGGATTAAAAACACCAGGAATTATAAATTTTTCAACATTTTTTAATGAAACTTTGAAAACTTATACTTTACTATGTCGTTCTTCTTCTCTCTGGTCTCCCCGTTTAGAAAAAATTAGACTTTTTCGCTAATGAATACATATATTTCACAATACAAAAAACACTAAAACGGTTTTACACATTTTGCTTGCAGCTATTTTCAAATTACGGACTTAACTCTAACCGCTGATACTTCCGCAGATGATGACTTAAAAGGACAGTTTTGTTAATGATTCGCTATATTTTCAGTTTTTGAGGTTTTCCGTCACAAATTTGTGCTCATCCATCAGGTATAAAAATTTTCTAATGACCATCTACGGATGTGTTTCAAATATAGATACTTGGTGCTAAAAGAATTTTTCCACCTGCAATTGAAATGAGGTATGACTGATTATGCGAGTGTCATTAAACACAGTGATAGACCGTATCATCCGAATTCAATAAAACTTTTGCTTTCCTGCAACCTATTGAGAAGTATTCAGATGTAAAGACTGTAAAGAATACTTTCCCACGTAATAAGATGCACTTTCTAATTGATGATTTATGCAATTGTTTTCAAGAAAATTAAGCGGCTACAGTATTCGAAAGCAAAAAGTATTATTAAATAGTATTATTAAATACTTTAAAAAAGACCAATAAATACTGAGTTAAAAAATAACAAAAAAATTTTCACGTTTTTTCTAAGTGATATTCGTTTTTCGTTACCTTATCCTTTTACTTAACAAATTACATAATTTTCAATAATAACTGTAGAGAATGAAAATAAAAACTTATCTTTCCCTTTTACTGAAACTATCATTGGCAGTCATTACCTACAACCAAAGACAGATGATAAGGTGAAAAGCTTCTAACGCCACCTGAATTAAAAGTAGAGAAAAGAACATTTGTTAGGTATACGACCATACGAGCGAAAAGAAAACTTAAAGCAGAGTTAATCCCGAGCAAAAGTTTGAATACGACTTTTTGATGACTTTTTTGAAGTTAAAATCTTACTGCGTTGCTATATGCTTAATTGTGTAGTAACTTGATATTATCAAACGTATCAACTTCGTTTGAGTATAGAATGCTAAGAGATTGAATCACTTCACAAAAGAAAAAAAAATTCAAAATTAATTTTCACTTATTGCAAAATACCGCCACTGCACCCATCTTTTTAGATATCATTCATATTCAACCAACGCCACTGGCTTACACTAAACGACTTGCAAGAAGCATCCTGCATATTCTTAATTTTTGTAATACTTTCTGCTTCTCTATTCAGCAATTTCGCAAGAACGTTGAAATTTCGTTAGACCACAAATTTCTCGAATTATTTTTATCATCGACCATTTGACTGTATATTCTGTTCTTCATAGTTGGGTTACTTTGTATTCTTCCACGTTGAAAGAGGTTCAACTGCCAAAGTTATTTCCGTTGGAAGTGTCCCGTGAAATGCTACCCAAAAAAAGAGAGGCAGAAAAATGTTTCAGTAGCAGTCAGGAGCAGTTTTTTTAAACAATAGAACTTTTAGAATCATTTTTTTTTGGTTGTGTGAGACAAATAAACGAGACTTTAGTAGAAGAAAAAAAAAAACAGAAGCAGCTGTCAAAAACTTTTATAAATGCAACTCTGTAAACAGAAGAATTGCAGAAGTAATGTGCTGGATAGGTCTGTCGAATAAAGTAGAAACGCGAAATATTGAGAGATATTTTAAAAAAAGTATTTTGAGTAAACTGCTCAATGACCATATAAAAGAAATCTCAAACGAGTTCCTTGTAGACTACCATACTTTAGAACTGACAGAAATATTTGCCATCGTCTTGCAAAATAAAGCCAGTTCGATAATCCTCTATACTCAAACAAACTTACGCATAACGAGTCTGATTAAATCCAAACAAATTACGGCAGAAGTTAACAGCAATTAGCCTTGCATTAGTATTTCATACGCAAAGGATTCAAGAAAAACCTTTTTCAATTTTTATCTCAAATAAACATCATCTTACCCCCGTTTTTTTTCAGCCGTATTCTTTACACAAGAAATTGACAGGAAAAACTTTTTTGCTTTCATTAGAATAATACCTAATAACCTCATTTTTCATCGAGAAAACTAAGATTATTTTTTGAAATCATTTACACGCAGAATACACATAAAAACATTAAAGTTTCCAACTATCTTTTACTCTACAATTTCCCGTAATGAATCAGTGTCAATAAGTGCTTGAAAAATAAATTTTTATAACACCTAAGTAAAAACAAGGTAAAAATGTATTGTTTCCACACTTTTTACTCCGCTGACATATTCAATATCTAAACCCATTAATCACAAAATTACTTATTTTCACAACAAATCAATTTACCCTCAGTACAGTATTTTTCTTTTCAGTAATTACTCAAACCAGCATGAGTGTCTTAGTCTTACAAAAGTCGCTTGAATTTTAGTTTGAGATCTCTTAGCTAAAAACCTCGACGGCAGCGCTATGCAGTGCAAATCTTTCGCATGAGCCTGGAAAAATGCAAAAAGAATTCTCTCTGCTGAATTTCGGTCACTCTAAAGTCACTTCGGGCTTGTTTAAAGCTAGAGACTACTTCAAGTTGTCATTGTATAATCACATATAATCTGGTTGTATTGCCTCACTGCTGTTTTCCACTTTAGTCGTAGCTGACTAATAACCAAAAAACGCTTATAGCTGGTGTCCAGATAACTGCACACAAGTTTTCCTTAGCCTTTCCCAAACTCCCATAATTTAGACTTTATTAGCTCACAGAAAATTTACTAACTTGCTGAAACTTCCCCTTTTCAAATTTTTTATATTTATATTGATTATTTTTGAATTTTCCTTTCAGATCTTTCATTGACAAGAAGTTTATCAAACCACAAAGAAATTTAAAGCTAAAATCTTTGTGAGGCAATGTACGGTCAAATAATTTTGTTTCCCTTCTTTGTTGTCATCGAGTAAACCAACTTAAGCGTTTGTGAGCTGTTACCGAACCTTCAGATCTGAACTCTAATAAAAAGGAGATTATCTAGAATCACCGACGTATTTCAAACTGAAAATGCAAGCTTCCGAGAAACTTCTGAGAACAAGAAATTGCTGTAACTAATGTATTTTGCTGTGCAAAGCATCTCAATTGTAGCGCCGTCCATTTTCACCAAAACGCCTGGCTCTCCCCTCTTTAGTTACATGTAGAAACAGATCTAAAATTGAGGGCTTCATTTGTCCTGTTCTTCACTTAATATCACCGGGAGGTAACAAGGACAAGCTATATAGAAAAACAAGTGTAAGTATATGGGTTTTTTACGCAAAGCAGTCTATTTCCAAATTTTTGTTACAGTAATAAAAAGCACGAGAAAATCCTTCACCTGCTTTACGGCTGTTTAACTTCGTTACGCTTGGCTGTTAGAATTTATTATCTGTAAAATGAGGAGGTACCTGTCGAGTCCACTTGGATTTTTTGGACTTCCCAAGTCCAAAAATGTTTCTACTCTGTTTATTCCGCGTCACTGAAGCTCAGCAGAAAATCCGGTCATAAATAGTAGGGTTTTTCAAAGCACTTCTTAAACAGTTAAAGTTCTTTTCTCCAGAATGCTTCTGATGCTGGTTTGAAGGCCGATAATACGTCTGATTTCTGAAAATCCGTTTTAAACTGTAGCAGCAACACACAGTACTTACAAAAATCCCTCCTACGAAGAACTAAAGGGATCTGTGGATAATAAACTATTTTGCCTTTGAGGAAGATTTGTTCACCACTCCCTTCACCGTCTACGACAAACTTTTCCCACCTTCATGAGATAGCTCCTTCAGACCAAAAATACACTCTTTCTCTCCAGCTCCTTTGTCGCGCAGATTGGAAATAATATTGCTGATCGAACCATTTATTTAATAACCTATTGCTTTGGAATAATTTATAAAACGTTGTGCTCAATTCCTGAAAAACTGGGCGCTGTAATGGAACAAGCGAGAGACGGCCGTACTGCAGAAAGCCAACATCTATTGAATGCGAATTCTCTTTAATCGTAACTTTTTTTGAAGCTGCATGTTTCTTGAAAGTGACGTCTGCTTCATGCCATATTTCCACCAGCTCCAGTGCTATCCTGTTGCCGCCCCCGGAAATGTGCAATCACATAATGCATTTTTGGCTATCTCTCGGACAAAGGTATTTTCGATTCTC